GTGAATGAGACCGGAACAGCCAGTCATGCAACCCCCCTCTCCAGCCGTGCAGAGCGCCATTCACTGGTATTTGGAAGGCGCCAAGTTGCGGGAGGCCGGGCGTGGTGAACAGGAGCTCACATGGCTTAGGCAATACCCCTAGGTCAGTGAATGGCACTGTGCTCAGCTGCAAAGGGGCTTTGCCGGGTGGCTGCTCTCTCGAGAGCAGGCACCCAAAGAGCCGGGCGCAGCCTCATGGGCGAATGGTTATGTTGCAGCTGGCCCACAACCATAGAGCGTGCGCCCGGAGTGGCCACTACCAAAAGACTCGGGCTGGAAGCCGCGAAAAAAGCCAGGCTGGGATGGCGGCGGCAGAGATGCCCTGGCTTCGTAATGAGAGCTGGCCCATGCATCCTGAGGCTGGGAGGCAGGTGAATGAGACCGGAACAGCCAGTCATGCAACCCCCCTCTCCAGCCGTGCAGAGCGCCATTCACTGGTATTTGGAAGGCGCCAAGTTGCGGGAGCCGGGCGGTGGTGAACAGGAGCTCACATGGCTTAGGCAATACCCCTAGGTCAGTGAATGGCACTGTGCTCAGCTGCAAAGGGGCTTTGCCGGGTGGCTGTTCATGAGCATGGTCGCTTCATGGCTGTTGTGTTGCGCTGCTGCGACAGTGCAACACGGCCATTCGCCCGTGAGGCTGTGCCTGGCTCTTTGGGAGCCGGCTCGCAAGAGAGCAGCCACCCGGCAACCCCAAAACAATAAACCCTCCCCCCATAATAAAGCCCAAGCCATATTTTGTAGGCAAAAAGAAAGTAAGACCCTATCGTATTTTCAGGGAAACACGGTATATACAGTAAGTTCTGTTCAGTACCTGATTTACTTAAGGGGAAAAAATTGTCTTTTATATTTTATAGGAAACCTATACTCTTCTATTATAATTATGTAGTTTGGTCTTATCCAAATTTATTCTAATGTAAGTCCTATCAACTGAAGAAAAATCACTTAATTCTGGAAAAGACTGTAGAGAATATAATCAAATTAATTTTAGACTTTACCAGAAGAATGCAGTCTCCACAAAATCACATGTCCCTACTGAATCTCAAAATACAAGTAGTCTTTGACTCACCACCACAATTGAGCCCAAAACTTCTGTTGATAAGCAAGACAGTTGCTAAGTGAGTTTTACCCCATTTTAGGACCTTTCTTGCCAGAGTTGTTAAGTGAAACACTGCAATTGTTAAATTAGTAACACAGCTGTTAAGTGAATCTGGCTTCCTCAATGACTTTGCTTGTCAGAAGGTCGCAAAAGGTGATCACATGACTCCAGGACACTGCAACCATCATAAATACATACCAGTTGCCAAGCATTTGAATTTTGATCATGTGACCACAGGGATGCTGCAACAGTCATAAGGGTGAGAAACTGTCATAAGTCACTTTTTTCTGTGCCAATGGAACTTTGAATGGTCACTAAACAAATGGCTGTAAGCCAAGGACTACCTACTTGCATTGTAACTCAATAATGCCTTAAGATAATTAAATGGAGGAGGAGCTAAGATGGAGGACAGGCAACAACAGTTGTAAAAAGTTCTTCCAAATGTAAATTAGGTTTTTCTTTTTTTTAATCTCTATATAAGTATTTTTATATTTTTAACTCATTTTTAATCTATTTTTAATCTATACTGGACTTTTACAAAAGCACAGTGTGGCTACCATTTGTTTTAGATACATTTTAACAATGCCTTAAGAATTTTCCTCCATTTGTAGCGCAAAATCCCAGATCAACATAATAATAGGCACTGGCTTTTATTTTAATTCAGCAATAATGTATAATTCTCACATTACCTCAAAAATTTCTTCCCTGGAGACCTCTATACGGCAGTGTCCAGCTTGGGGCTGCTGCTGGGAGAGCTCTTGCCTCAAAATCTTGAGTTTTTGTACTAGATCTCGTTTGTATCTTGGCACAGTAAGACATTCAGCCTCGTCTGAAAGTTGGCACAGTGAAACAACTTGTTGCTGCTGCTGCGGCTGATCTTTAAGTTGATTTTGACGACTGAAAAGAAACAGAGAGACTTTAACTTTCAAGATTCCAAGACTTCCGGTTGCTCTCATTTCCAAGGCTTCCATAAAATGCACGTGAGCTAACATATTGGGGGATATTCAGTGTGTTATTCTATCAAAATTCTCTGGAAGAGTGCATACTCCTGTTTCTTTTAATACTGAACATTTCAAGTACTTTATTTAAAAAAATGGATCAGAACACAATATGGACATTGCTCGACATGTCTCAAACTGCCCTATTTTTCCAAGGTTTTCAGGTGTGTCCAAACACAAATAATCTAAAAGGAGGATATCATCATACATTTTAATTGCTTTTCCTGAAAAGTTAATTTACCAAAATGCTTGTAGAGAGTTTGGCTAAGTTGGTATCCACTATACCTGAATTTGCCTTAACCACAGGAATGTAGGCAATTTTACAATTGGCACAGAAAACTGAATATTTTCACTAGCTATTAAAGAAAAATGTTATAAAACTAAGTTCAGACAGTGAAGGATGAAAACATGATATATTCAAGGTAGGTCCTTCTAACATTTTTTATAGTTACAACTCATGCCAAAATGTGCAGCATTTTAAGTAGAAAGAACATTATTTCAGAATAAAAGTTATGCTAAGAAAAAATGTCTAAATCTGATTGTTTAAGATTATATATGAAATGTCAGATGAAACTGTGAAAGTAATATAGTTCTTAGTAGACACAATGTGGAGAAACATAATTCATTGCCTCTTCCAATTATTAGCAGAAGTCAATGATAAAGTAAATCAATCAATCAAATTCATTAATTTTATGAGAAATGAGAGGCAAATATAGATGGAACACAGTAATTTTGATAGGTTTTACAACCATGGTTTTACTGTGTTTCAAACTGTTAATGAAAATTCAGTAAAGGCTTAAATATACACATGGATAAATCCATTCATAGATAAGATGACCCTCAATTTTTAACCATAATAACAAGAAAAATGACCCAGATAAATAAACTCTTGAAATTCACTGTGTCATAATTTTCATAGTTGGCACATTTTTTGTGGCATTTTGGTTACAAATTCAACATCAGCTTATCTGCGAATGATGTTAGCCTTGAATATATAATCTTAATAAGTATTAACATATATACGGTATTCCCAGGTAAACCTATCAGTGGATAAACCAAATGTTAGGGGTGTGTTCAATTAACTGTTAGGTTGTTTAAGAATCAAGAGAACAAATAATAATGGGCTTAAATTTTCAAATTTCCAACCTATTGTTTATTTGTAATTATTTATATAACTTTGTAAGTACTCCCATCTTTATTAGCACCTGAGGATATTTAATAAAATTTAAAGAATATCATGAAATCAATCCAGTACTCAATAACTTTATAGTTCATAAAAATTATTTGGTCAAGACTGTGCAATCCTTGTCAGGATTAGATTTCCTCAGACAGCACCATTTGACTAGTAATAGCCTGTGATAGGAATCCAAGTCATTTAGTTTTGTTTCTTCTTTTTAACCCTTATCTGGTTAATATAGTTGCAAAAATCATATTAAGGCTCTCTAGCTTTAATTCTCAGATTTTTCAGCATTATGCTCTGAGTACCCTGCTATAAACTAAGTAATCACTGATTAATGGAATAAGAATGTTTAGACAGCATCATGAGCCGAGGTGGCGCAGTGGTTAGGGTGCAGTACTGCAGGCCACTTTAGCTGACTGTGATCTGCAGTTCAGTGGTTCAAATCTCACCGGCTCAGGGTCGACTCAGCCTTCCGTCCTTCCGAGGTGGGTGAAATGAGGACCCGGACTGTGAGGGCAAGTTGCGGACTCAATTTGCTAAAAAAATTGTAAACTGCTTAGAGAGGGCTGAAAGCCCTATGAAGCGGTATATAAGTCTAATTAATAAATAAATAAGGGATGAAAGCGTCTTGTTCATTACAAAGAGATGGTTGTTTCTCTTATAATTGACATTTTCAGTACCAGGCATGGACCATGGTAGCCAAAATGTCTTGTTTACTGTCAACAGATATTTGCCAACCATGCTTACTAATATCAAAAACCACTGTTGCCAGCCTGAATACAAAAGCAGCAGCCAACATAAACCAGAAGCAGTCAGGTGAAGACATCATCAACAAATGCTTTCTTCCTCCATTCTTTAGTTTATGCCAAGTAATAAAACTGTGGCTGCTGTTTTTAAATTTCATTCTGGCTGACAGAATTTTCTGTTCTTCCAGCCACAAGTTTTCTGCTGTCAGCAGTCATAACTAGCAATTCTACTTTACCCTCAGTTTAAAAATAAGATTATGTATAAACTTATGTGCTTTAAGTGGAATAGTAAAAGAACTCATGAAACATTTCTCAGGAACAGGTAGACTTTCAACTGGATTTTTTTTTAATGGGCTTTTTAATGTTCTCAGGAGTCAATATATTTAGGTTGTTATAGGTAGAAATTAAAGGAATAAATTAAAGCTAGCAAATGTGGTATGTTAAATGCTCCAGCCTTTTGGAAGAGTGTCCCCACTCCAGGAGTCATTTAGCCTGCCTTTAAAGATCTGGATTTTTATTTATATTTTTAATCCCACCTTTCTAAGTAACTCACGGTAGCAAACATACCCAATAATACTTTATTTTATTATAACCCTCTCTGTAGGCACACGCGCCATTGCCAGCTGCTCTTTTGGTTTCTGGCACCGGCCAGCTGGTCTTCGCATGTGCCGTGACGTTGGAAAATGTCCTGAAAACGACCAAAAACAGCCGAAAAATGTCCTGAAAATGGTCCGGAAAATGGTCTGAAAAATGTCCTGAAAATGGTCTGAAAAATGTCCTGAAAATGGTCTGAAAAATGTCCTGAAAATAGTCCGGAAAATGTCCTGAAAATGGTCTGAAAAATGTCCTGAAAATGGTCTGAAAAATGTCCTGAAAATGGTCTGAAAAATGTCCTGAAAATGGTCCGAAAAATGTCCTGAAAATGATCTGAAAAATGTCCTGAAAATGGTCCAGAAAATGTCCTGAAAATGGTCTGAAAAATGTCCTGAAAACAGCCCATTTTTCGGGCTGTTTTCCGGGCTTTTTTTCAGGCCATTTCCCAGCCAAACCAGCCTGAAACAGCTCCGAAACTGTCCCCTAAACAGCCACAAAAACGGCAACAAAACAGGCATGTGTGCGCCAGCCAGCTGGTCTTTGGGTTTCTGGCGGTCCAGCATGCGCACATGCACGCACATTCCAGTTTGGGCACTTGGTGTTGAAAAGGTTCGCCATATATAAAATTTATCAGATACTACACTTTTGCTGATGACACTGCTAGCTGAATTTCTGAAATCCTTTCATAATGAAAAACAGATGCATAAAGAAAAAAAAATAAAGTATGTAGCTTGGGAAGTGCAAAAAAAAAACAGTCTGTGATTTTAGAACCTGACAAATAGAATGTTCTTTCTGCTGCAAGAAGCCTAATTTGTTAAGCCTTTTTGTTAGCCTACATGAAACACAAATTATATTCTATACTATACTTCTGATGGTTAATCAGAAAATGCCTATTTTTAAGTCTTTGGAAAGTGCTTGACATAGCAGATAAGAGGATCTGCTGTAATATCACATTGGTCAGTAAAATAAGCCAGATTTGAAGAGTTATGCAAACCAAAAGATTTTCTAAAAAATTGTAATTATATTTTAAAACAGGTATATAAAAATCAAACATTTTTAGATAATTTGGAACCTGCTTTAAGGTTCATCTAACCAAGAAACGTATCTTCTAGAATCATGTTCCAAAATATTGTTCTGTGAAAACATAGTTTTAATACTTTTGTTTTAAAAAAAGAGACTCAAGTGGACATGCAACTATTTCCCACATATGCAGAATGAAGCTGACAAAGCAAAAGCCAGCAGTTCCCAGACTATTACCTCAGTATAGATCATGTATCTTCCAAGGCAATCAAGAGAATGGATAGCTATCTATTGACTTGGAAAGGCAGGAGGAAAAAGCCTTGAATTTAAAGTCTGAACTTATCTTAAGAACTTTATTTTCAATGTATTGAAGTGGATAAATCTTCCACGAGCAACTGTTTTATTCTTATCTGCAATAAACAGATTAATCAAGCTGACTCATATCTGTGAGGCCTTTGTGAAGAAAAAAGGAAAGAAAGATAGTTTCTGAATTGGGTGTAAATACCTACTGAATTAAAATTTATAGTTGGCATATAAAGGTATTAGAGTTCAGAAACTATATTCTAAGAAGAACTGAAATAATTAATAATTGTGTCTAGACAATAGCAACTTTTGCTCTTGGGAAGAATAGAAGTATTAAATGCAGGAGAAAAATTGGAAAATCTCTGGTGCAGAAAATACATTTTTGGGGGATTAAAAATGCTTCCTCTGTTTCAACTCTATCAGGAGAAAATAATACTATTTTATAGTTTGATTTAAAACAATGTAAGATGTTAATTCCCTTAGAAAGAATGTAATCAGATATTCCTGAAAAATCCCTGTCTAGATTAGTTATCCATGAAAATATAAATCATACTTTACTACCAGAGAGACAATTTCAATTAGCATAGAAAATTTTTCTCATATTATATATAAATTATATACTTTAAGGCCAAGTACCAATCTTCCAAAATTGAAAATGAAACCAAATCTCTCCCCCCTCTTTTTTTTTCTCCTTTCTTTCTAGGCTTCGTATATCTTAGGTTTTTCTATTTTAATTTGGACAGATGCAAAAGAAATTAAGGAGAAACCTGGCTGTTAGGAATAGAAGAAATGCAGAAAATTGGTTTTTTTCATAACAGTAAAAATAAAATATAACCAATGATTAACAAAAATGGTAACATTCCTAATAACCCTTTACAAATCAGTGACTTATCAAATAGAACACAATTTCAACATCCTCTTTTTCAGAGCATTAACACTTCCAAGACCTTTTAGATTAGGTTAATCTAAAATGCACATGTAGAAATTAAAAACCATGAGAGACTTTCCTGGAAAACTACCTTAAATACTCTAAATATTATTAGCCACATATTGGTGATATCAGTGATATTAACTCACTTTAGAACCAGGTGCAAATTAGCTGATAGCCGTGGATCTGTAAACTGTGTGGTCCTGTTGTTATGATCAACAAAATAAACTCTGCCTGTGGCTGTGTTTCGGATTTCCCATCCAGGAGGCAATGGCCCAAGCTCTTCACAATTGATGTTGCTAAGATCCCTGCAAAAAACAAATAGAAACAAGGAATATCTCAGCACAGGGCTTCTGAGCCAAACAGGCAGAAATGTAACATAACTATTCCATGAAGTCTGTGCGTATGCATTGTTTCAGAAACATTATCTCTTCGGTTGGATCTCTGGTCCCTGGGAGTAAGTCCACGAAAGTAAAAGAAAAAAACACATACTCTTAGAAAAACATTGCACTACCATGCCTTGGAAATGCTGTTATCACAAAACTATACTGGTTGTTTTTGTTTTTAAATAAATATTCCTGTAATCAGCATGATTCCTACTAGAAATCTAGGTACTTAAAGGCCACTCTTACTATAGGGGCTTAAGAGCGACTTAGTTTTTAGTCATGATTTCAGCAAGTCTTTTAAATTGTTTAAGGATACTTGAAATGCTTTTTCTAAGTTGAAAACAGACCTTATTTTCCATAAAGTTTATATAAGCTTGCAATGTACTACAAATGACTTTAACCCGCCATGTAGACTACCATGAGATAGAGTGACAAGCCCTAGATGAATACAAGTTTTCTCAATACAGTTTGATTTAAAATCTTTTAATATTTGTAAAAGAAGCCTTCCATTAACTTATTATTTCTATATCCTGCACTATACATGTTTCACCTCCCACCCCAAAACAATTATGTGAGGCAAGATAGATTAGACACAGCAGATTACACAGTACATTTCATAACTTCATAGGGACCTGAAGATGGGTCTCTAGAGTCCTAGCACGGTGCTTTAACTGTTACATCATTTACCAGATAAAAAACTAAGAAAGTTAGATTTAAGTGTGTAAGCAGTTAACACTATTGAAATTGTATCAGTATCCATTAATGTTAAAGAAAAAATAAACTATATAATTTAGATTTCAGCTCACTTATTAAAAGTTTTATACTTTAAAAGTTAATAAGTGGAAGTCTGTTTGACTTATGAGACCATCTTCAGTTCTCAAGACCTCACAGGTTTCCATGTACCCTTATAGCTGCTTCAGAGATTTCTCTGAATTTTAAGGGTGCACAGAGGACTGTAAAGAGCGGGGTGGAGTGCCTCTCTCTTAAATCCACTGACAAAAGCCATTTACATTAGCAGAAAATCTCCACTGATTTGACTTTATTTGGTAAGAAAATTGGAGGCAAGTAAGTAATAAATTTAGGTTTAATTAATTTCATTTCTGATCAAAGAAAGATCTTAGTCAAACCCCTTCAGATGTTTCTGAATGTATTTGACATGTAAGACATTCTTTTTCAGACACAAGTATTCAGCCCACGCTACTCTCTTTTTAAATTAAAATTGAGATTTTTCAGAATGCATTGTTTTCTGAACCATGTTCTGAATTTGAGTATCCACAGAATCACCAACACACATCATCCTGTCACTGGGCAAACGTGCAATTATTAGAAATTTGTGTGCTATTTTGTATTTTATTTGTAAGGGGGCTTTGCTTAATTTCCAGCACCAATGAAGATACATTATTTTCTTACCGAGGTACACGGGGATCATGCCATGTGCTTACACCGGTTTGAGTATGTAGGAAATACACCTGCCCTTGCTGAGTTGTCCTTTGCTCTGTTTGGGAAATTATCAATGCAAAAATAAATCAGAAAGTTCAAATATTCCTTTTCTAAAGAAAATTCCCCTGGATCTCCAGTTATCATTGACAGTTCACTTTGCCTAAGTGATGGCACTGATTCAAAATTAGCCATTTTTATGACCATACTGGGTTGTAATGTAAGTGTTTTATGGCGAGGAAAATGTCACTGATTAAAATATTTATTAACCACAAGGTCCCAGCATCTCCTTAGTGTTGCACAATTGCCAAATCATCATAGTTACCATAATCTATTTTTTTTAATTATACTTTTCTCTTATTTATCAAAGGAAAGCAGATAGTTATACAATTTCAGGAACACCTACCATATCCCTCAGGTAGATCAGGAGGAGTATGCAGATGGGTCCTGCTCATGTAATTCCTATGCCTCTGAGATCTAACTCTCCTTTCCGCGAGCCTGGGGTCAAATGCCTGTCCACATGTTGCACCATTTATTCCTGTAAGAGGTGTGTTCTCATCCACAAAGCAACTCAGAGGTCTGCCAGGACTGGAATATTCCGATGCTGGCCTATTGAAAAACAACAATCTTTGTTTCTTCCATCAAAAGGGCATTACAGTCTAAAATTACAGAGTTTTAAGTAATGTGTTAAGAAATACTAGTTTCTTAACACGTTACTAGAAGGCCACATTCTAATAAATGAATAAAAATTAATTAGATTAAAATGATAAGCTGCACAAGTTGATTGGATGCTGCAGTGAAAGAAGGCACAAGTGTTGAGGACATTCTCTTGGATTATGGCATAACAAATTCTTGATAAATGCAGCACTGCCATCAGACCTAATAAAAGAATTGTCACATAACAAATACTCCTCTTCAGGCATCTACCGCCAAAATCCAAACAGTTCTTTCATATAAATATGAACAGATTGGCTGGGCATAAAACATGTCCCTTCAATGATCTGGCTGCAACGTTTTACATCAGAAGCAGTTTCAGCCCCCGGGGTAATTCTGTGTAAAGCATATTTCCAGTAATCCAGCCCTAAAATTATCACCACAAGGATTGCTGAGGCCAGATTAGTCCTGACAAGGAATGATTACAGCTGGTAGTAGGAAAAAGTTTTCCTTGCCACAGAGACCACTAATGCCTCCTTTGATAATAAAAGTTCTAAAACCATCCCAACATTGAGAAATGTTCACACTATTTGCATTGTACTAAAGATGAAACAAAGAAGACTTGGAGGAATGGAGATGAGAGATCTGATTTCCTACCTATTAGCAATAACACAGTTGCCAACTTCACAACCCACAATAGAAGAATCAGGAAAATCTTGCATTTGTATTTGTTCTGGTGCACAAGTGTCACCGTCTCCCACTCAACCGTAAGCAAAATAGAACAATTTCTTTAATTGTCCAAACTGTTTCCCTTGTTTCTCCCTTTCCTAGAAAGGATATATAAACTAATAACAAACCCTGAGTTAATTTAATGAAAATCAGAGTAAAAAATGGTTTATCTTTATATATAAATATGACCCCTTTATTCCTGCTGGGTTTTTTTCTTATTATTGAATATTAAAAAATAAATGATAAGGACTTAAGGAAAATTTAACAAAACATCGATAAACAACTGTTTTGATCCAATAAGCATATCCAGAAGTTTGAGATAATGTTAAGTGTTCTAGCAAAATGACTGTTGCAGAGGGGAATTTAAAAAACGCCTCTCATTTATCTGAAAACTAATTTGTATGTTCAACCTCTCAAGAGTCCATGAAAAGATTCCCATGAGCAAATATGTTCTATGTTTTTTATATAATAATGTAATACATATTAAATATGCGAGGAAAAACTCTAATTTGGGAGGAAAGGACATGATTTGGCACATCAACTTAGAATTGGAGAATTCCTAGCACTGACAACCACTAGAGTTGTAGGCACGCCACACCTTTAGCTCTTTAAAAGAATGCTTACCGTGTTGGTCTCTCCCACTGTGTTGTTCGTGTGATATGATTCAAATACTGAATTCTTCCAGAGGCTGTCCTCCTTTCTTCCCAGCTAAATATTTTTGTATTGAAAGAAAACAACATTACAAGAAGTTTGATTTTCAAATGTTTGAGCTCACATAGTTATTTATTAAAGAAATGTATGTGTAATATGTTTTAAACTAGCATTCCTTCATTCTTTGTTATCACTTCAAAATATTAAGCACAAATTAAAACAGTATTTGGGACATGTGACATCGTATTTTATTCTAACTGTCAAAAAATGAACTTACCCATCAGGTAAATCATTGTCAAATAGTCTACTGCAATCAACAACTTGCCCTCCTGTGCCTATCCGGTCCCTGGACTGAAGACTTACTATCAAAAAAACAAAACAAAAGTTAAACTTAGAACATTATTATGGCATATCTTGCACGAATCCTTTTGATTCAGTGATGTACAGATTTGGGACTTTGAAAATATATAGGATGCTCTTATCTTTTCACTAAACCCCCTGAGGATTACTTCAAGATAGTGGAAAGCAGTTTGATGAGATTTCAAAATGTAGTAATCTGACTCTGGAAATTTTAGCTCAGTAAACAGGTATAGGTATTCTTAAAATTATGTGTCTCTATAACCTCAAGCTACAATCTTACACCTGCAATCTGTTCCTCATAATTGCCTAGTAGAACACAAAACATACTTTTGTTAGAAAAGATTACTTTAGTATAAAGATTGCTAACAGTATATTAATGGATGATTTATCTGGAATGTGGATCTTGTTAATTCTGGAGCATCTAGCAACTTCCAATATGTTACTCCTTCCATATTCTTTTGGGAGAAACAATGACACAGCAATTCCATTTCTACGTAAAGAAGTAACTCCAAAATGTGACACTGAGGGAATATGTCACTGTTATATGATCCTGCAAGATTTTGCTTGTCTCCATGGTTGTGAACACTAAAATGAACTGGGAAAGGCAATAATGAGGTATAATGAAGCAACACTTCTTTGCTGATAACATGTCATTCTCTTCCATCCAATTCATATGAAGGATAATGAAACTATATCAGGAATAATAATAAACTGAATTAGGGCCAATAAGCAGCAACTCGGTCCTGGCAAAACTATGTACCTGAGAACCAACAAATGTTTTGTTTCTTCGAAGAATCTCCTTTAAGGACCATATACATGGGGAGTAGTGACTGGAAAGATAAAGAGCTTTCTCAATTAAGATGCCAAGGTTGTAGAATCGCCTACTCAAAGAAACTTGTCTAGTGACATTCTTATGGTTTGGCCTGGTCAGATATTTTATTAACACATTATTTTCAACATGTCATTCTTTTTTGTTTTTTGCTGTTTTTTGGGGTATGCTACATCTATTTTTATGTTATTTCCTCCTACTTCCATCACTAAAAGCTCTGATTAAAGCTGACATACAAATCTTGCCAGTGAAGATAAGTCTTTGGGAACTTTAATTCGCTGAACATGTGGACAATATAGAAAAGGGACTTCATATTTACCACTTGCCTTATCATTTAGCATAAGTCAATTGCTAGGAATCAGATACTTCTGTATAAAAGGCATCTCCATATCAGGGATTTTATTTAACATATAATATTATGATCTGGTTTCTCATTCATTTTTTTAAAATGTTGGTTTACAATTTTTATTTACTTGCCTTTTGAAAGATGTGGCAAGCCTTAACAGTGGCATGTATGACACAATGCTATTGCAAAAACAGTTTACATTTTTACGAACAATTCCCATATTCACTCCTGAATTAAAGAGACAATCTTTAGTGCTAACATTTCTTACATCCAAAGATTTTTCACAGATAAAATAAAATGATAATTCTGTGCCTAAAGTGTTGCAAATAATACAACAAAGGCTATCTGTGTAAACCTAAGTAGTTCTGTTTACTTTATAAAGAGGCCAGTCAAGAATGAAATTGAACACATGACTTATTTGTGGTTTCTGTGGCATTAAGATTAATGGGCTTTTCTTAATCCTGTTTAGATTGGAACTGAAAGCTCAAGTCTAGACCAATACGAGCATCAACCCAGCAAAAGATAACAAGAGAAGCTGGGCCCCACTGCAACCCAAAGGAATGCTGGCGTTCTGAAGGTAGGGCACCATCTGCACACAGCCATCCTTATAATTCCACCTGCTGGGATCAGCATTTAAAAAAAAACCCAAAACAACAACTTGGAAGCAGGAATACAGTCTATAAATCAAAAGTCTGGAAGTTCTCATTAGAAGTAATCTACTCTTCTTCCAACTTTTTAGATTTTTTTAAATCATAAACAACCATTCAGTACAATCGATTCTTAAATATTAGTACTGTAAGCAATGTTAAATTGAAGGATAAGGTTCAATTTCATTCACAGAGCCTAGTACCATTGACACAATAAGATGTTTGGAATGGATCTAATATTGAAACACATAACATGCAACACAGGTGTGAGATCAATTGAATTATATTTCAAAAGACCATCACAACACAAAATTGATTGTCAATTTCTCACACTCGCTACTCCTGGAAAACGAATTCATAGGGTTAACAAATACATTAACAGGATGGATCAAAGTATAGTTAAACAATAAATTAAACATTAACTTTAATAAGAAGAGAAAATAAAGCAGTAAGTAACATGTAAACTTAGTTGGCTTTAAGCATTTCAGTTAAACAGTTATCTGAATGTCACTGTTGAAAATCTATATAAATTATATATACTTGCCAAAGCGTAAATAGAAATGGTAAGAGGAGGGCAATTATTAATAAGGAAGACAAAAAATGAATGCCAAGTAATGTTGATAAGCAGAAATAAAAGAGTTTCATGCAATGGTTTCTCTTTCCAATCAAAATTGGAATTCAATCACTCAGCAGAGCTCCAAAGGGGAGAACGCTTTCATTCTGCCTATGCTTTAATCTCTCCAAATCTTCTTCAGACAATAGGGAATCCTCATGAACCACATGGGAGAAGGCAAAAGGGGGGGGGGGGAGAAAGTGGATACAAAAGAAGAAATAAAATGCCATTCACTTTTATTCATAAAAAATCTTTGCTGTATCAAAGGGGCTTTTATGGACAATACGTTTAACCTAATGTACTCTATACCATATTCCTCTTCCACATTTTTACAGGGACCTCTTCCAAAAGACTATAATGCATTACCTGTTATGTGTTATTCTTAGAAAAGAAACTGTACCACAGAAGCCTCAAAAACTTCTTTGCCAATAGAATGAAGTCTTATAGTAGCTTTAGGCTGAGTTTTCTGTCAAACCTACATAGGACTATGTCGAAATCATACCGTTCTGACTCAAAACAGACTTAAGTAACAGAAGAATCATCTTGTCAGGCCTGGAAACCATCTTGGGCATTGGATCTTCAGGCTTGCCATGTTTAGTGCCGTGGGAAACTGGGAGGGGAGGGCATTGTATGAACCTGGGGAGTTATATAGTCATAACAACATTCCTTTCCCCGAGAGTCAAGGCCACTCTACCCTGTACCTGTAAGGGTGTGACTAATAAACATCTCCAATTGGGACGGTGCGTTGATTGGACCATATGACAGACATGTGGGTGTTGGGACAGGAACTGGGACTTTCTTTTGGGTGGGAAAAACCTGGAAGCTTTCAGATTCGGGTGTTCCCAGATGTGCCAATATGGCATTCTCTAATAAATGGAACTTTGGGGAATGCCTAGCCTCGGAGTCTTTTTTCGTTGGGGGTGCTACTTGGAACCTAACACATACTTTGCATTCCTTTTTTTTTTCATTTCCACCCTGGTGTTTGAAATACATATTTAAATTTGGTCTGGTGGGACCTAGTGGTTAAGGTGCTGGTTAGAAACCAAGAGACTGTGACCCAAAGATGCTTTCAAAAGTTTAGTTGCCTTTTAAAAAAGCACTTTTGGGACAACCATGAGCTGGATGGCTGAGAATCTCCATAGACAAGAGATTGTGAATTCTAATCCTGCCTTCCCATGAAAGCCAGCTAGTTGACCTTGAGCCATATCTCTCTCTCTCTCTCTCTCTCTCTCTCTCTCTCTCTCTCTCTCTCTCTCTTTCACCACCTTGTGTTATTTAAAAAAATAATCAAGGCAGGTTATAAAATAAAACAAACAAAATAAAATCATTACTTACCTACTATCTGTCCTCTAACTGTATCATTGTCATTTGGTCCAAGTTTGCAGAGATCTAATCTCTGATCTATTAAAAAAAAGGAAGCACATCTTATTTCTATGTAATGATCATGTAAGGTAATTTCTATGGCAAAATACATATTGCTGAATTAAACATTTCTAGAATTTCAAAAGAAGATGAAGAGCATACTGGTCTTCATCTTCCCCAAAGCCACTTTTGACTAATGGTTAAAATACCAGTCTTAAAAAGTCAGAGGCTGTGAGTTCAAGTTCTGTCTTAGGCATGAAAGCTACCTGGGTGACTATGGGCCAGTCATTCTCTCTCAGCTCAACCCACCTCATAGGGGTTGTGGTGGTGGTGAAAAAAATAGGAGAAGGACGTTGGAGTGGATATGTTCACTGCTTTATTTGTAAAAAAATTAAGGCAGGATACAAATCAATCAATCACAAATAAATTATAATTTCCATAGAAATAATTTTAAAGTCACTCTAAAAAGCTTATTTCAAAATACCGAAGTACTTTTGTTCTGCCTACTTACAACCAGTGTCTTTGAGGCGGTTGATAGCATTAGAAAGAAGTCTCACACAACCCAGAAAACCAGCTCCCTGTTTTTTATGGATTTTCTTGTGGTTCCATACACTGATTGTTATAGAGTCAGACTTTCCAATGTATCTAAAGAGGGGAAAAAGACAGGAATCAGCAATAAAACATATGTTGACTTCATACTTCTAACAGTCTATTAGAAGACAATTTTTGACTGCAATTTTTTTAGAGCTTCATAACATATTGTTATTTTTATTTTATGCTGAAGAAGAGGTCAAATGCATTATACACAGACTTGTCTCCATCATAATTTACTCATAAAAAGATTCTACTTGAACAAATGTCAAAGGAGCTTTTTAAAAATATATCATACATTGCTGACATCCTTAGGCTAGACAGTCACAGTCTGTCAAACAAAAAAAATGGTATGTTGTTGAGTGTTTAATTTGGAGGATGAGTTCTTACACTTAAGAATTATGTTTCTCTTTGGGAAATGTTTAGTAAGCCTCTCCCATTACGTGCATTCTGTCATAGTACAAACATCTAAATGTTCGATTTACTAAAACATCCTTCTACACTCACTTGTTTAAATCATTTATTCACCCATCCCACACATACCCCAGAGTTGCAATGCAGCATAACATAGGTGGTCCTTGACCTATAACAGTTTGTTTCGTGACCGTTCAAAGTTACAACGGCACTGAAAAATGTGACTTATGATCGTTTTTCACAGTTACAACCTTTGCAGCATCTCCATGGTCATGCGATCAAAATTCAGATGTTTGGCAATTGGTTCATATTTATCCCAAGGTTGTGTGATCATTTTTTGTGACCTTCGCACAAGCAAAGTCAATGGGGAAGCCAGATTCACTTAACAACAGAGTTACCAGCTTACCAACTGCAGTGATTTACTTAACAGCTGAGGCAAGAAAAGTTGTAAAATGGGGCAAATGTGTCACTTAACAACAGAAATTTGGGGCTCAATTGTGGTTGTAAGTTGAGGATGACTTCTATAAATGCTCTCATAGCTTACAAATCAATCACTGATTATTTTCCAAGACTTAGAATGATGTCTTTTTGGAAAAGACTACTCATATAATGGTATTTTCAACTTGTTTCTACATACAATTTCTCTTAACAAACACAAAGGTTTCAGTTCAATACCCACATATATATGAGGGGAACAGACGCATTGCAACTGCAGCCCTCCAATTACAAAAAAAGGGGGGAGAATGTCTTCTATGTGCTAGCTTTCTAAGAGGCACTCATGGGACTACCATTCCAGCAAATGGTGTCAGCAGCTAGAGAGGAACTATTTCTTAGTGTTACATGTAGTGTACATTTTTGCCCATGTTCCAAGAAAATCACTGAAATTTTTATACACTACAGATAGTCTAACTCAAAATTATGACAGCTTAGAAAGGGTGTTTTACATTCCATAAAGCACTTCTGGCCATTGTAAAATGCCATGGTACACCTCCTCACAGTCATGTCAGTCACACTTATGACTAATTGTCAAGTGCCCTGTGATCATGTGATTGCCATTTGAGATCTTTTCTGCCAGCTTTCCCGGAAACTCACTGGGGAAGCTGGTAGAGATGGTTACAAGCTGCCACCACTTACCAAAGGGTTTCCCCTCCTCACCATGCACTGGGCAGGGGAGGGATGGAAATCCTTTATCAGATTGTAGAAAGGAAGCTCGGATCTTAAGGACCTCTGTGTGATTCTCCAACCCAGTGGAGGAGTTCCCTTCCACACATGGAGAAGAGAGGAACTTCTGAGCTGGACTGAAGAAATCGTGAAGATTTTTAATGCTTTCAAATTTTTTCCAGGTCTATAGAACAGCAGTCCCCAAACTTTCCAGCTTGGTGGACCGGTTGGAGGGGGGGGGAGAGGAGAGGGGATGTTTCCATGTGAGCAGAGGGCACACAGATGACACACATAGCTCCATTTGGCACATGCCACACGCACAAATGGAGCCTCAAGTATGCTCATGCAAGATGGAGCTGTGTGGCATACTCGACTGCTGCTTCCGCAGCTCCGTTCTGAACGGGCTGCAGCTTGGGGGTTGGGGACACCTGTAATTGAATGCCAGGGTAGAACTACATTAATTTATTTAGGAAAATTTATTATTTTTAATACTGCTATTGAAAGTTGCCTGATATGATTATTTAAGAGATTCGTTTTTTTAAGTATAGAGCTTTCAGAATTATGTCAAGGGTTATTAGTGCCCAACTTCATTTTCTTGGGTGCTATATATAAACTTATGATATATCAATTAATACTTAGGCAATAATATACTGGGATCATTAGAAGTAAACATACTGGGATAAAAACTGGCTTCTGAACAACCAACCTTAATTAAAGGAAGACTGCTAAATCTGTGGCACTAAAACTGTACTGCAAGTCCCATCATCACTGATTACTACATATGATTTGAGAAGTTGGTGTGAATTTGGAATCAAATCTATCTGATAATCCAGGTATCTCCACTCCTCATCCAGAGTCTGCATTTTTGTCTCTATTTCCAGCTGTCACAAAAAATATACATGTTTGTTTTCTCACTTAAGCACTTTGATTTTATACATAAAAGCAGTATTTAAGAATTAGTATCTATGTGGTTGCTAAGAGTTGGCACACGTGTAATGACACATAATCAATCAATCAACCAACTCTACGCTTTAGCAATGAAAGACCAGCTGTTTTATAAACAAACAAAACAGCTAACACAGGCCTGCATTACTTTTCAGAGTAATTCTTAGCAAAGACACCCTGATTTAATATATACATTTTTAGCAATTACCCAGCTTAAAGTTTGGTCATATTTAGATAATCTCTATTGACACGTACAAGTCATAATGCTGATTCCACTTTGGATCAAGGGTATTCTTCACAGTATCAGTAGAATGGCACTGGCCAGATCCGTCCACCACCACTTTAGCAAATGGATCAGGAAGTCCTGTCAGAAAATACATAATACAATGAGGATATTGCAGAAAATGACAGGCTTTAGACTTCTCAGGATACAGGAAAAGTTCATTTGGCAGCCAGGTTCAAAAGGTTAGCGAAATGGCTAACATTGCAAGTTCTGAACAACCTTCATTATCGAAGCACACGTTCTTATACCTACTCAAAGGCAGCGTAACACGGAAACACTTAACTCATTTCTTATTGGTTACCTTGAGGAAAAAGCCTTATAAGGAGATGAGGGTCTTACTTCTCCTTTTATTACAGGTATGAACTACGTGTCATTAATGAACTTTATCTGAACCTTGTGATTTGGACTTTTGACATAGGGATGTTGGCTAGAACATCTTGTGGTTAGAGGCTGAAGACATTTCTTTTAAGCAAGCTTCTAACTATCCTTTTTATGCCACATCTTCATTCTTATATTTTTAATCCATATTTTATTCTACTTTAAGGATGCTGCTAATTGATACCATATTATTTGCGGCGGTCCATTAGAAAACATCTACATTTTCTAACCTATCTCCTTTTTAATCCAATGAACCAAGGAATCGCATTATGCTATCAATCTGATTTTATAATTTTTTGTACTCAACTACATTAATCCTTTATGTAAAAGTAGAATTTTATATAAAGAACAAATTCTACTAGGAATTCCATAATCTATTCATTTATTTTGTTCATTGCAAAATACAATCTATACTGAATTTATTTGCACATATAACATTGTTTCAAGACATTTCAGGCTATCATTGTAAATAGGAAATACTTTTCTTTACAACTCTTCTCACAAGTCCAGTGCTTTCAAGAACAGAAAGATTCAAAGTCAAGATAGAACTGAAGCCAGGCGTTTTTAATACACAATCTGTTTTCAGCAGTTTTCAACAGTCTCTGAAAGCACTGCCCGGTTTTAGCACTTCACTGGACTGAAGAAAAACAGAGCCACCTGCCATTTTAGCAATAGCAGCCCATTTGTAAGTGTGAGTTCTGACTTAAATACAAATTTGGGTTAAAGACAGATTTAGAGAACAGAACTCATTTTTAATAGTACTTCTTGAAGCATTTAATTGCAAAGTAAATATGAAAAGATAACCATTATGAAACATGCACTGCTATTTATAAACATTCTGTAACACACATGAAACAGCAGGTGGCAGCATCTGGTTGACCTTGACTGGGCTTAGAAAGTTAATTAGGTCATCCTGATTATAGCAGAAGTTGGATGGGAGACCAACAGGTAATTCCAATAGAATAAGCTGAGTTCAGAAGTTGAAAAACATTCCATAAGACTATCATGGCAAACCACATCCATACTAATGCCAAGAAAACTGCATGGATGTGTTCATGAAGTTATCAATAGTTGTACTTGACTGAAATGAGCTTGACTTTAGCAGCACTCATAGTCAAAGCAATTATTTAATAAACAACAAATTTAGCCAAAGGAAGCTAGTGTAAAATATTTGATGGCAGCAACTCTTTTTAACTGCTCTTATGCTAAATTTCCATCTATTTTTAAAACTCAAGGGACTTTTGGGATGCTTCCTGATAACTGCATGTAAAAAGTTAATGCTATGAAATGGATTATGACCTTCAATTTTAGTTCTGATTAAAGCATATTATAATACCAATCCATTTTTAGATTTTACCATCACAATAAATTGGTGTTTATGGCATTACAGAATTACTATTCTCAGCATCTCTAGCAAACAAGACCAATGGTGAGAAATGTTGGGATTTGAAGTTCAACAAAAGACGGTGTCATAGACTGCCTACTCTTATTGAGAAATGAACACAAATTAAAACACTGTTCTTACAATATGCCTCTTTTATTTAATTTTCAAATTTAGATACTGCCCATCTTACTCTTAAGAGTGACTCTGGGTGGTTCACAAATAAAAATTAAAATTGATAATAGATACATAAAGGGATTTTTTTTAATTTCCACCTTTCCTTTAGGGGTTTGAAGCAGCATACATAACACTTCCTTCTCGAATTGGGCTGAGAGACAATAACTGATCCAAAGCCAACCCAATAAGCTTCTATGATTGAGAATGGAATCTCAGTCTTTCTGCTCTTAGTCCAGGGTCTTAATGTCTATACCACACTGACCTGTATTCAATAGGCAAGTATATCAATATACTCTATTAGCACAGGCCATAAACAATACTTGAAGATGAGTAGATAATTTGACTATATCAGAGTATTCTATTTAATGGTTTATGAAATGCTACCTAGTAAGACAATATCTTTGAATAAAAAACAGAAAGGTGTACTTACGGAAAAAATCCTTTTTCACCAAATTTTTTGCACAGAGAACTGAAACCAAAACAAAGGGGAAAAAAGAATTATAGACTAACATTGAGTTTTAATGTATTAATTAAGTATTTCCAAATGTTCAACAACACAATTTCAGGCATATGTACCCATACTGAAATATATTGTAAATCTGGAAATACAGGCACATCAGGCAGTTTACAGATCAAGGATCACAGCCATATTGTACAGTTGGCATTCTGTTATTCAGTATCTTCATCCACTGGAATCAGCAGTGGAGGAAACTGAGCTTGGCGGAGCCCACCCAAAAGCACCATTACTAAGATTATCCCCATATCTCTAAACAAATGTCATTGACCAAAATATATGGAGTATACTTTTTGATTTATAAATTAAAAGCCAATATAATTTAAATGTTGGTCTTTTCTATGCGTGTTTATTCAATATATAGTGAGAAAAATACAACTAATATTATAGGTCAGCTCTAAAAATGCTGCCATAACAATTCCTTTGTACCAATTAGAAAAAGGAAGTTATACAGTATACGATATGCATAATGAGAAACAAAATCTGACTCAAACCCCCAATTTACTCAACATTTTTGAAGCTTAAACAATACAGGATTTTAACACTTAAGTGATAATACCAATGAAGGAATCAAATTGTATGAAAGTAAAACTGAGAAAACCCCAAAAAGGTACATATAAATGTAAAAGGATTTGCAGATCTTAAATTATATTCCCTACTATATATTATAGAATCTCCTCCCTAATAACAAATATTGCTGCATCTTTTGATTGGGAGAAAGTATTGCATTTTCCAAAAAAGATACATCAAACATTTCCAGCAATTATTCCTTAACCATCTGGAATAACCACTATTCCTGACAAAATGTCAAATTTATAATCCAACATCACATTAACTTCTTGAACATTTTCCCATAAACGTAGTAATAAACATTAATTTATATCCCACTATTCCTAAATTATATCCTACAATTCTTCTGGGAATGCAAGCATTCTGACAATCACAGTACCTCTCCTTCAATTTTATCCCTGAAACAATAACTGTAGCTGACAGAGAGCTGGCCCAAAGTTACTCAAGGAGCTTTCTTAGCTAACTTGAACTCAAGCCTCACTGATCCTAATCCTCTACCCATTACCCAATCCATTACATTGATATAAATGATAATACAACTTTATTTTTTCTCATTTGCTCCATATTAACTCAGGGCACATATAATCAAGTTCAAATAAATAAACAAAAACATTATTTTGCTTGTTAGCAAAACATTCAAAGAGTGGACTTGAAAGCTCTGAAAGAATGTCTGAAAAAAGTTAGGCTAAGGTAGAGTTCTAAAATAGAAAAATAGAGGAAAAGATTTTTTGGCAAATAAAAGAAATGAAGCGAGTTAAATTTTCCAGTCTTGCCTGGCAAACAATAAAGTAAGCACCTAGTTGTGGCTAATAGTAAGCTGTGTTTAGTATATTGTATGAGCAGAGTTGATTTGCCTCAAATTCATTTCTTTTAACATAACATAGGCAAGGAAAGCTGATTGTCTTTGCTAAATATGTGAGGGATATTTGCGGAAGTGGTGATGATGTTTATCAAGTTTGCCATGTTGTCCTTTTTTCTTTCTCTACTAGTTCAATTTTCTTTTTATGCTTATTATATTGTTCTACATTGTCTGCTGAATTATGAGCCAGCAGAGTTGTCTGGAGTTGAATAGGATCAAGTTTAAACAAACAAACAAACAAACAAATAAAAGTTTTCTCCACTGGTGTCTTCTTCTTGCTGAATTACTAGTCTCACCAATATTCTCTTTAGAATGTTCCAGAAGTACACGACAGACAAATGAATGGAGACCCTCCATCGGTGCCCATGAATTACATGTACATAATAGATACGATCAGGTAAATATTGGAAGCAAAAAGAATTATGGAAGAGCTTTTTAAGAAAAAGAAATGGAGAGACGTTTTGTATAAAAATAATTAAATATTAAAGCAGGCAAGCCCAACCCACAGCTAGTAATGCAGCCCCATAAGATAATAAAAACTATTTTTTTTAAAGTTTATTATTTAGATACATTAACATATGATACAGTGATTGACGATAACATTTGTAGCTCAAGATTGAATTGTGGGTCCTTGGTGTTCTGAGTTTGGTTGTTTTCTTGCAGACATTTCATTACCAGACTAGGTAACATCACAGTGCTAGTAGGAAATGGGATTTACTCTCATTTTTACATTCTAGTGGCTCCCGTGTCAGTTGTTGTTGGGATTGGTCTTGGTGATTCCTTGACTGGATATTGTTTAAGGTTCCTTGATTGGGATATTCTTTACTTCTTGATTGTTGGTCTAATGTTAATCTTGGTGTTAATCTCTGCTCATCTGGGCGTTGATTGCTGGTAAGTAGGTATTTGGTCTTTTTTGTTTCCTTTCTGGCTTTTTGATTGTCTCTTTTGAATGGTATGCAGATGTTGCTAACGTCTATGTTCCTGTTCATGGCTATTAGTATATTATATATTTTATATGTAGCCCAAGACAATTCCTCTTCACTTAATGCAGCCCAGGCAAGCCAAAAGGTTGGACAACCATGAACTAAGCATTTGATTTTTTTAAAATTAAATTCCGTCTGCTAAGTTACAGCTTGAAATAAAATACTAGATTCCACACTATTCTCCCATAATTAAGAAGTAAATAGTTATCTGAAGGTGACTGTCAACAACCTACTGAATCATTTTGCATCCTCGTGTTCTCTTCCCCACACTGTTTGGATGCTACAAGCACTGGCATCACCAGCTATCTTTATACTATGATATTTTACAGTATTTATTATCCCCATATCACCCATTCAGATACATTGCTATTTTTTACTGGCAAAATCCCCACTTATTTCAAAATTAATTTTTATTTTATTTTAACATTACCATATGTGAAGGTAAAACGAAATAGCCCAATAAACAATAAATGGAATTCCTGACTCAAATTCATGGTTTTAGAAAGATAATGTCTCCTTCAAATCAAGCTCTACTCCTACCAACTATATGGACACATCCATGTACTTTTCTTGGCAGCAATACTCTACAGAAATTGTTTGCAATTCCTTCCTTTTGTTTCTTTGCTTTTTGACTTGCAATCTCTCACCCAGAGCTGTCAGTAGCCTAGTAGTAATCCTGCTTAACTTTTAAGCCCAGACAAGGTCATTCAAGTGCTGCCACCTGTTAAGACATAACCTTTATTAGTTTTAAGCAAAATAAACTTTCCAAATTTCTTATTTCTTAACATGGAATGAGACTATTTACATATTTCTGAGTTTTAAAAAGTAGTATTCAGGAACAAAGAATGGCAGAATATGAAGCAGAATTTATGAAGAACTGACTTTTGTTCTGATGCAATAACAGTATCATTTACTTACCAGGGTATAACAGTGCAGGTATGAAAGAACTGAGTTTTTTCTAAAGTGGGGCAAAATGCATTTACAATGCAAAATTGCAGGTTTTAAAATTAACATTTTAGAATTAAAAAAACATACAGCTATTGCATGACTTTCTTTTAAAATGTAGTTGTGTGTACAGAACTGTTCTGTTTTTCTAAATAACTCAAATTGAATGTTTTATTATCACCAGTGTTTATTAATTTTAATGTTTTAATCTCCAGCTACCTTCTGATCTTCCCTACCCAGCAGCCTAAAGCATTTTAAAAAGATAAAAAGTGAAGTGAAAATGAACCTTAAAAATAAATAAAAGCATCTCACTCCCTCAGTCAACAAAAAGAAAACAGAGGATAACATGTATTTCCTCTTTGTTCTTCTTGCCTTCATCGCAATTCAGAGAAAATAGAGGAAAGTAATTCGCTTTTTATGTATCTTTTTTGCACTCTAACCATCCTTTGCTGCTTTTGCACATACCAAAAAAAACTAATGGAAATTCAAATCAACAACAAAAATAAAAACTTGGGAAAAAAGACTTGAAAAAAACTGGAGGCTACAAGAAAAATATTTTCAAGAAAACAACTTTGGAATTTCTGTTCATACTCTAGTAATGAAGCAGACTGAACCTAACAACAAATTTATCTGCTACAATCTCACAGCTGAAAACTAAGGCTTGGCAAGACCTTATCATTTGTTTAGCATACATAAAGTCTTTAATGTAATACATTAAAATGTTTTAAAAGAAAAAGAAAAACATAGTATCTTACAGCAAAAGATTTTTTTAAAAATCTAATAGCAAGGCTTTTTCATTCTTAAAATTCCAATGTATTTTTCTACATCAGCAATATGCTTTGATAATATTATTATAATATTCAGAAGTAGTAATTTCTAGGCTAACAAAAGAACAATGTTGTAATAGAAAGTGGTTGATCCCAAATTTTCTAATTTTCCAGCTTTCTGATGTCATTACACCCAAGAAAAAAGCATCATTATATCCAAACCTATTTATATATAAAAAACCTAAACAACAACATCCTCTTTCTCAGAGAAATGCATATGGTAGAGAAAATGGGCAAATTGAAAAGGGAAGTTCACAACCCACTTCAAATAGCAATTTAGTTTCTACTCAAAATAATATTCTAGTGGAAGTCATTAGCACAGTATTCCCTGATTGGTTCCCTTCTGTATGCATATATAATTAAAATATATATCCCAGCTGTAGAAACACAATGCTACATGCTGTTAGTATGTGTTGAACAAGCTATGCTTTAATGTGAATAAACCTCCAACTGCTCTATTGCCTCTTGCCAAAAATTCCCCTTTCCCTCCAGACAGTGGTTGTATTCCAATTATGCTGCTGATTGGAATGAAACTGCTGGAAGGGAGGGAATTAGAAAAATAGAAAACTCTCCATTTCAAAATACTACTTCTGAAATCAGAGGGCAGCATTGGCAATTCAAAAGCAGGGATATTAAAATAATTGGTGGGTCCCCCTCTCTTTTTAGAAGACAACATAATTTTTTCAAGTTTCTCCATTCCAATGTCTATGTACTTACAAAGAAACAGAGCCATATTTAGGGTTTTTTATGTAACCTAATATGCCTTCCAAA